AGTCAGGGCTCCCCATGGCCCCAGGGCGGCGCTAGGGGCTGTGCTGCAGGGAGTGGGGCGGGGGCAGCAGGGGGCTCTCCCCGGGCAGGAGGCAGTAGGGGGCACTGGGAGGCAGCGGAGGGCACTGGGGGGCAGTATGGGGCACTAGGGGGCACTCTCCTAGGGGACACCGGGGGGCGCTCCCCCGCCGGCCGCGCTCACTCACCATGTAGTAGAAGTGGGAGAAGTCGCCGGAGTCGAGGTCCTTGAGCCCCACGGAGAGAGACTGGCCGGGCCTCACGGCGCCCGAGCGCTGGGTCTCCAGCACCAGGTAGCTCCCGCTGGGGGACCGAACTGCCGTGGCCCGGAGAGACGCCTCGGCCCGGTCCCTCTCCCCCGCCACCACCTGTGGGGGGGGGGCACGGCTCAGGGGGGCCAGCGCCTGCCCCCCAGCCATGCCCTGCCCCTCGCCCCCCTCCCCTTCCCATTCCTCAGCCCCCTCCCACCAGCCCCCAGCCCCATCCATCCCCCACCCCTCCCCATCCCACACCACCCACCCCTCCCCTCCCCATCCCCCCCCAGATAGCCCCCATCCATCCCGCTCCCCCGGGGGCCGTACCTTCAGGGTGAGGGCGCTGGCTCTGGAGTCCAGGTTGAGGGGGAACATCACCACCCCGTTCTCGTCCGCCACCACCCGTGTCTCGGGGTGGGACGTGCCCCCTGAGACCTCGGCTGAGACCCACACGGGGGTGCGAGGGGCCGGGGAGCCGTCGGCCAAGGTGATGCGGGCCTGGGGGGAGATGGGAGAGTGGGGGGGGGGGCACAGACACAAACAGCCCTGTGTATGCAAAGCCCCTCAGGTCCATGCCCCTTACCCAGACCCCCCAGCCCCACGCCCCCCCACCCTGACCCTCCCAGCCCCTGATTCCCCAACCCCCTGACCCACAGCTATACACCCCCCAGTCCCCCCTCCCCAATCACCCAGCCCCACGCCCCCCACCCCTGATCCCCAGCCCCAGGCAGCCAGCGGCAGCTCCCCCCACCAGCACGAGGAAGGGCGCTCTGGGGATGAAGTGCCGTTTGGTTTGCGACAGGTCCACGCTGTAGGGAGACGTCACGAACTTGACAGTGCTCAGCTCCTCCTCCTCCATCTCCCCGCCTGCAGGGGGGACGCGAGTGTGAACGGCGGGTACAGGCCCAGCCCCCGCCCTGCAGGATCACAGCCAGCGCCCCCCAGAGGGGACAGGCCCCGGCCCCATTCCCTGCCCCCCTGAGCCAGCCAGTCCCTGTCCTGGGGCCGGATAGGAGCTGGCGCCCCCTAGAGGGGAAAGGCTCCGCCCCATTCCCCGCCCCCCTGGGCCAGCCAGTCCCCGCCCTGGGTACTCCTGGGGGAATTCTGCACTACTGCATGTGCGCATAATTAATGAGCCATGCATAATTTTATTTTTTTGTGCAGAAAAAAGCTTCTGCCAAAATGTTGCTGCAGTTCCGCCTTTTGCCCCCCAGAGGGCGCTGCGGTGCGAGACCAAAGCGAGGGAAGAGAACGAGCTGCCGCCTTCGCACGGCCCGGTCAGGGGCTACGGGGAGACGGACAGTGCGGGGCGCTCACGGGCGAGTGGGGGAGGACAGACTGGGGCAGGGCGGAATAGGAGTGGAGGCACCGGGCCAGGCGGGAAGGGAGGTGCAGGGCCACATGGGGATAGGGTAGGGGTGCAGGGCCACATGGGGATGGGGCAGTGGGTGTCTGAGAGAGGGTGGAGGGACACATGTGGACAGCCCTCCCTCAGCTCCTCCATTACCCCGACTCCCTCCAACTTTTGCTTCTTTGGGGGGGCGGGAAATCCAGTTCTGTATTGTCGTTTCAATGAATTATTACTCCGAGTTGTGGATTAATTTGCCTAGTAAGGAATCTGTTTGTCAAAAAACATCTCCTGAATCTTTTTTGTTGTCTGTATTGTTACAGACACATTTGCAGACAGGTAATTTGAAATAAACAAACAAAAATAATTGTAACTGGTGTGATTATATTGTGTTAATTTGACAAATAAGATATGCAGATTTATGCAGAATTTTAAAATATTGTGCGCAGAATTTTTGTTGCAGAATTTTTTATTTTTTGTTGCAGAATTCCCCCAGGAGTACCTTGGCCCGGGTGGGAGCCAACGCCCCCTAGAGGGGACAGGCCCTGGGCCCCGTTCCCTGCCCCCCTGAGCCAGCCAGTCCCTGCCCTGGGGCTGGATGGGAGCTGGTCCCCCCTTGAGGGGACAGGCCCCAGCCCCATTCCCCGCCCCCCTGAGCCAGCCAGTCCCTGCCCTGGGGCTGGATGGGAGCTGGTCCCCCCTTGAGGGAACAGGCCCCAGCCCCATTCCCCACCCCACAAGCCAGCAAGTCCCTGCCCTGGGGCCAGGTGGGATCCGGTGCCCCCTAGAGGGGCCGGGCCCCGGCCCCTGCACTCACTGGCGGTCTCTATGAAAGTCACCGCGATGTAGAGGTTGGTCCCTGCCAGGTCCTGCAGGGGGCGTCCCAATTTTTGCGCTAGGAGGCTGCGTTTTAAGATCACGTTTGCTGTCCCCTCATTCACCTGCCGGGGGGTGGGAGGGAGAGGATTAGATGATACCCAACCCCCCCATACACATGGACCCAGCTGGGGGGGGGGGCCACAGAGTGGGGGTGGGAGGAAGGAGGGCAGAGGGAGCTGTGACAAAGTGGGAGGGTATTTTCCGTAACATTTTGCATGAAGACTCTGTGTGCCTCAGTTTCCCCATGTGTTACACAGACACCCGGGGGGGACCAGGAGGTGCAATTTTTGCTGAGCCCCCATGGGGCAGGTGGGGTGGCCTCTGGGTCCCCCCAAGCTGGACTTTGCTGCAGGTCCCAGCACCCCGTGCTCCCAAGCTGTGTCTGGCACCGGATTCCCGAGGGCGAATAATCCGCCCGTGTCACAGACTGGCTGGGAGTCGCTGCTGCCTGCGCAGTGGGGGGGGGTCCTTTGGGGGTGTGTGAGGCTCCCCCAGGGGTCCCGTCCAGGGGGACTCACTGAAGGGGGCTCACAGGGGGCTGGGAGGGAGGGGGACCCTAGGGGGCTGGAGGGTCCCAGGAGAGAGGGTCCCTGGGGGACCCAGGAGGGGAGGGGGATCCCAGAGGAATGGGGATCCTGTGGGTGGATGGGGGTTCCATGGGGGAAAGGGGTCCTGTGAAGGGATGGAGGATCCCAGAAGGGGGTCCCAGAGGGATGGGGGTCCTGTGGGGGGGAATGGGGTGTCCCAGAGGGGTGTCCCAGAGGGATGGGGGTTCCGTGGGAGGATGGGGGGGTCCTGTGGGGGGAGGGGGGCCCCAGAGGGATGGGGGTTCCGTGGGAGGATGGGGAGGTCCTGTGGGGGGAGGGGGGTCCCAGAGGGATGGGGGTTCCGTGGGAGGATGGGGGGTCCCGTGGGGGAGGGGGTCCCAAAGGGATGGGGGTTCCGTGGGGGGAATGGGGGTCTCACCGTGACCTGTTGTTCCAGGCCCCTGAGGAAGGTTTTCTCCCTGGCCTCGTTGCTCACCCCAAACCTCAGGTAGGCGACGCCATTCACCCCCTTCCCATAGACGAACCTGGAGAGAGAGGGGGGAGTCACCCCAAACCCTGACACCGAGGCGCAGAGCCCAGGGGGGTCAGTGTGGGGGGCAGCGGGACGGCTCTGCCGGGGTCTGGATTCGGTGGGGAGCTGCACCCCAAGGCCCGTCCCAGCCCCGTGGGGAGTCTGGGGCCGAGCTGTAGATCAATCTCTGATAATTTTCATATGTCTTTACATTGTGCCTCTTCATATAACCTTGTGGTGGGTCTACCCAC